CGCAAAGCTCCCTCGAAGACTTTCTTGCGAGAAACCACCCGTAACGTCCTCAGGCACTTACTCGGGGAGGGCAAAACATGGCTGGATGGCTGCGTGAGAATGAAGGGCCCGTCTCCACGTCCAAATTACCCGTTCGACTTGGCCGAAATTGTAACCCTCCTTCCCAGTCAGGATGTGAGACAACGCCCAAACACGGGTGAAGGACATTCATTCTGTGTGAATCTTGTCATTCATTCGCCAACCTGACAGAATGACCCCCCCCCAAAAAAGAACTTGACAGATCAGCTTTTTCATTAATTACCTTGCCAATGAGGATCCCTTCCAACGGGTGGTCCGACTCTGCTCTCATGTGGCTGACCTTCGTCCTTCGTCCGGCGCTGGACCCTTACCTGTTTGGTTGCAGATTCAAAGTGCACTGGGGGACTCTGGAGCCGTATTCGCAACTGTACATTATCTCGACCAGCATTGGCGATATCAGTGGAGCGATCGGAGGGGTCGGGGCTGAAAAGGGGCCTACACAACTGGGGAGATAAGAATGAGAGGTTTGTTGATCCCTTAAGGCGAAGGTTTTAGAGGGATACCCCTAAGTTGTAAAAGTCCAAAAGTCTATGGCTGGGAAGCGCCAAGAGAGGGCCAAAGCGTTAATTTCGATCCCAGACCCGCTCCTTGTAGTATTTCAAGCCTAGCTTGCCTCGCGAGGAGTCCGTGTAGGCCTGCAGTTCGGAAGAGCAACCAGATGCGAAGCTTTGTAGGGGGCCGCGCGCTGCTGCAACGAATGCTTTTTCCGGAATCCATCCGAATCATTCTAAATTACTAAACCCAAATCTTGGTTCAATCTGAAGCCAAACCTCCCAGAGGATCAAGAAAAATGACTGAGTGTGTGAATTTCTGAGAGAACCCTTTGTGGGGTGGTGTCAAAGAGAAACCACAAAAAAGGAACACCTCCATTTTGGGGGGTCCCATGGGTCCCCTATTTCAAGACGACTCCAAAATTCAATCCGAGCATTGCTGTCGATGATCGCCAAACCATGCCCTTGACAGTGACCCCAAGCCGCTGGGCCTCAGCGCTTCCACGGTGATCCAAATACATGGGACATGAGGCCGCCACTCATCGTTGGGGCCAAGTGACGGAAACAAACAAACCCTAGCAAAGAGGCAAAAGGGCGAAGTGCGCCGTCCAAAAGCTCCAAGGGCCCCAAAAGCAAAGTTGGAAAATCCGCGAAAAGGGGCCGCCGGGGGCCGCACATCCAACGACCTAAATCCAATGGCCACTACGATGTGACAGGCCTAAAGCGGCCTAAAGAAACGGACAATGGGCACACTTTCATATATAGGGTTGTACCGAGGGTTGGATTTGGATTTGAATGGTTCTTGTGGATGGTGATTGGGAAGCCCCAAACCTCCAAACCAGCAATCCCAAGCACCAGTTTGAGGGAAGCTGATACAGGGTACATAACCCATTTGAGGGTACAAGTCCCTACGCTGGGCCCAAAAGGACGTCTGGGTCAGAGCCTCGTAGGCGTCTTTGTACAGCGCTTGCCAGGCCAAGTCCACGTCAAAGCCTTCGGGCGTGGCCGGGTGTGGAAAAGAATTCGTGGGGGCTACGACCTGCGGAAACCAAAGGACGCTGGCGAAATTCAAAGACCTAAAGCGGAGGCGAACCAGTTTTTGAGCAAAGGTTCAACCCCAATTCCGAGCCCTTGGGGAAAGCAAGCCCTGAGCCTTGCACCCCAAGACCATGGGCTGGAGTATCGTAGACAAATGACACGGACCAACAAACGACCTTCCTTACAGAAACAAACACTTTCCACTGGACTGGGGCAAGGTGCTGCAAGTCATGTGACCCACCTTTCTTTGCAAGCACATCTGACGAATCGGGAATGACCGAATGAGTGACAGATCCGAAGGAAAACACGGTCGCCAAAACAAGCCAGCTAACGCATTTAAATGGTGTAGCTGTTTCCAAAGAAAGTTGCTTCAACAATATTGAATATAGACATGAGGCTTGCAAAGAGCAACAAATGTCAGACAAGTCATGACGCCGAACAAAATCATCTCGCGCAACTGACCAGATCAAGCGACCGAAACGGGGAAACCAGCTTTCATGGTTTCTCGGAGATTGGAGTTTCTAGAATCCGGCCATGTAACCTACTGAGACCAAGGGTGTAAATGCTCATGGGTCGCGGGCCCTTTGGTGATGCACTTCCCCCAATCAATTGTTCATCAAGCCTCAGACCGAGTCTTCATTTAAAGGTACCCGTTTTGGGGTGGTAAAGGGAAACCCAAATGACGCCTCAGTTCGCAGATGGAGCAACCTCCAAATCTTATCCTGTCTATGAAATGACAAGGGCCACCCTGACAGCTATGACCTTGGCCCACTGGGCCACTCCCAAAAAAACACATGTGCGAAAAGAAAGATATTTCCTGATTCCGTGTCTTTCCCAAAATATACAATCGATTTGGAGACCCCATGGACCTGGAAAGCGGGCTGCTTGCATCGACTTCGCCAGGACCCCCTGCCTGAGATGTTCTTGATGATGGCGTCTGCTAGAACCACATCCGCAAAGGTACCCACCTCATTGCGCGAGTGCTCGCGCATGTGCGCTCCTACGCTTGGGAAAAGCAACTCCCATACGCTTTTCATGGCCAACACTCCTTATGCGGGTCATGGTTGTTCCCTTTGTAGATACAGAGTCTGAAGTCTCTCTATTTCCCGGTCCATGGTAGTGGGGTGTTTCGATACCCTTGAGCCGCTCCGGCAGCTTCAAGACATCCCACATGCTGGGGGGGGTATGCGGGTTCAACCTGACATCTTGTACTATCTCAGGGCCCAAATGAACACGGGGTAGGGTACTTGACAACCAATTCAAAGTTATTATGATAAGATAATTCTATGTGGAATTTGATGGTCCCTTGAAATAAATCCGTGTTCCTTCCCACATAGGCCCCTGACAGGAAAACCGTGCAAGCAAAAAGGGAGAAAACAACGACTTCGGAATAGGGGGGTAACACTTGGCTTTGAAATTCAACCTTTCCGTGATACACCAAAGTGGGATTCCCACCTGACGAGCTGTTTTTACTCTCAAGGATGCCCTTGGCCACCCTAAAGCCACCCAATTCCACAAACCTTGGGAATCAATCAAAGTTTGAGGATGAAGAAAAAACCTAGAAACTGCAAAAGCGGTATAACCGCATCCAATCAATTGGTCCCAAGTCCCTCATTCCCTAAAACAAAAAAAAAGGTCCCTATAGGTGGTCCGATGAGGTCATTCTAAGGGGACACCTTGCAAAGCAATCCAAGACTCTGAAGGGACTCAGACCCAGCCATGCGTCATCGTTACCCTAAATGTAAAAACACATGCGGAGCAAATCCTTGCAATTGTTTGGGTGTCTTTTTTGATACCAATCTTGGGTTGTTTGAAAGAGCAACCAAAGAGAGACCAAGTAGAGATACCTTCTTGTTCGTGGTCTCAAAGGGAAACTGAAGGGAAGCCACTTATTTTGGGATTCGGTCCAAAGGACCCATTCCCTCGGGTCTTGCCGGGGCGCCATGGAGTCCCGGTACCCCGGGCTGGCCCACTTGGGCAGCCATCCCCCCGCCTGGAAGCCGAAAGCCAGATTCGGAAGGCCGGAAGGAAGCCCCGAAGATGTTGGTTTTTGAGGGTATCTTTCTTGGGGTCGGTTTTAACGACAAAAGCAGGAAAACAGCCATGTTTGGGAGTCTCCTATTTCGAGACAAACCAAGATGGCAAACCTGTTTGGTTGCATGGAAACCCGTTTGAGAAACGTGTGCGATCCGTTGTTGTGTCTCGTAAAGTAGATCACCAAGTCCTGCTCATTCGCAATCCGTCCCCCAGAACCAGCCAGCGGCCCACTAAACCTGATTCCGGTTCTTTGTGGTATGCCAAACTTGTCCCCAAGGGTGCGAACGGCTGAGTAGGTTCAAAATCGGATGCACTCGTGACTGTCCCTAAGGGCATCGAGACAGTCAGGGCTCCGCGAAACAACATCCCATAAGGAAACTCAATCAAAATGTCACCCTCACAAACAATGAGCGGTTGGGGTGTGTTTGCTTCTTGTGGCCTCTGGTTGCTATTGGTGCTAGATCAAAGCGCCTTGCGTTGGAATGGTTGGAACTGGATGATTAGCAGACTTGAACCATCAAAGTGACGCTTCTGGTGGACACCTACCGCAAAAAGTTCTTAACGTTTGTGTGTGTGGGACGATTTGATAAGATGTGCAACCAGCAGCTAGGTCAACGAGCCAACCAATAGCACTCAAAGCACGGCTCCACTCTTTTGCACCGGAGGCTTCCCATGGTTGTCAAAGGCCGCCCCACGAGGGGAGCCCTCCCACGAGGATAGGCACCCGAAATGAACCTTCACCCAAACAACCGGCAGTCGCTAACATTGGGATTGGGCCCCCCCCCCCATAGCTCTCTCGAAGGCAAAGCCAAGGCGATGCCTTAAAGGCGTTGAGCCAGCCCACGATGAAGCTGGACAAGTGCTTGGGGTAGGCGATGGATAGCAGCGGGTACACCTAAAGAAACAAACTGAGAGGCTCGGCCTTGTTGCTTTTTTGTGGAGGGTGTGTCGACTTTCTAAGGATACCCGGACTTGGAGTCGTTTGAAGGGAAACCAAAAGGAAACTATATAACCTTTTTGCGGGGTCCCGTGTTTTAAGACACACCTGCATGGCGAGATTGCTCTAAACAGTGCGGACCTCGGATCACGCGTTTGGAGATGCGTTTGAGGCTCGAGAGACAACTGGATTGTCGCGTGGCAAGGGAAACTGGAAGCCCGAGTGTGGCTCACTTGATTGGAGGGCACGTCCCAGGTTGCCAAGCCAGCTTGATCCAGCTTGTAAGTGCTTGCCACAAGCATCAGAGCAGCAAACATGCCAATGCGCCTTTCAGGTAGCGTTCAACCTCCATTTCTTTTGACCAATGTTGCGTTTGCCTCGCTGCAGCCGAGGCGGCAGTCCGGAAAGTGTCCCAGAAACCATTGTCCTCGGCTAGGTGCCGGGAGGCTGGGCATGGCCTGACTGTGAACATCCCCCCAAATGGTGGTGTCCTTGTGTTCTGGTGGAAAAGGTGGTGGGAAACAAACCTATCTCTCATACCAAGGTGAGATTCCCATCATGGCAACTTGATCCTCCAAGAGGATTCCCTTGGTGCACGTCAAAATCGACCTAAAACCCAGCTTGTATGCTTTATAGCAAAAAATCGACTACCATGCAACCTCGTCCACCCTCAAAAAGCCTCACTCCACACATCACTCAATGCTGTTCCTTCATAACTCATAGCGCTGGATGGAGAGACGTTAGAATGCTTGTGGCTTCTGTCAGATTGGCGCTTTGAGGGTCGACGGGCATCGCTCCATGGCGACGTGGCATTCCAGCAATGGCCTGCCGCCCTCCTTCTTCATGGAACTAGACAGAACGTGTTCTACCTGTAAATTAAGCCACAGTTGGGAAGGAATTGAATATGGATGCAAGGCGCCCGCCAGCAGCAAGTTTGTCAGAGCTTCATTTAGGAAACAACAACCTGAAGGGATCTGCAAGCTGGGAACCCTCAACGTGGGTGGCAAACACCACTTTGGAATCCCCGTTTGTAAGCAGTCTCTATCTGACTAAAAAGGGGATACAGACCCCTTTCCCACTTCTCATGGAAGTCAACGGGAATGACACAAAGGCGTGTTCCAGATGGCAGGTATCGCTTTCCCCAAACTAATCTGCAACAAGTAAGACATATCCTGCTGTTCAAACAAATGCTTCATTACTTTGCTGACTGTAGGTGCACGGAACCCTTTGCCAGCTTTTGGTTCCTGGGTATGGGCAGGGGTAGGAGGGCGTGACAATGTTCTGGCCGCTTCGTCAGGCTAACCTGGCCCAAGCCTTGCATCTGGACGACAGGATGTGGAAAGTTGAAATCTGTGAGTGAAACCGTGATCGTGCGGGTGTGCCTTTTTGGGGGGTGGGTTGTCCTTGTGGTTTCCCTTTAAAACCAGAAAGGGTACCCTCAAACAAAGACAGCCATACAGCAATTCGCATGAATCTACTCATTGAGGGTCCATGTAAAAAGGGCCCCAGGCTGATCAAAATAGCCGCTAGCGTCCAGGGTGCATGAGTTGGGCCGTTGTTAATCGAAACGGGAGATTCCAGTTGCCTGTGCGCTGGAACCTGCCATATCTGTCGCAAATCAACAAATATGTTGTGCCAATGAAGCTGGTGTGCAAGAACTGTGCTAAGATAAAACATCAATCGCTTCCATGATTTTGTGTCGAATCACTGTGTCTAAAAAACCACAAAGAAGGCCAGAGGAAACAAAATACTCTCTTGCACAAGCGAGCCAGGTGAAGCGAAAGACAACTTGTCTGTGCAAGGCCATTGCGCAAGGCTGTCCGGCATGGCAGAGGCATCAAACAAGAACCGACACTTGGTTGGAGAAAAAGATCATGGTGCTACCCCGCGCCATGGTGTGGAAAAAAAGAGGCCCGGGCGAGGTGCGCTGACACCGATGCCTTCCACCACTTTGCCGTTGTAGGGGCTCCAGTGCTGGATGCCTGCGAGATCGGAGCTGCAAGCTCTTTGCATTGTTGAATAAAGCCATCGCACACTTGAAGGAACCCATCGGGTTGACAAGCTTAAATGTGCTTCACAACACAGTCTTTCCACACAGTCCGAGTTCACACAATTGCCAAAGACCTGCACAATGACAAAGGGTGCCGTTTCAAAACAATAAGCGACAAGAATGGGGAACAACTTCTAGAAGTTCGACATTCCCGCATTCAAATAGCTGACTCGCGGCAGTGTGCAGTCTGTCTCAAAATGGCTGTACACTCTTCCATTGGGTTTGTCTCAAATTGGGGAACTGCCCAAATTGGTCGGTGTTCTTGTGGGTTCCCTGAAACCAACCCTACAAATGGTGCCAAAGTAAGACTCACCCGATTGGAGGCCGCCTGAAGAAAACGCCAACCAAAGGAAGCAAAGGCAATCGGATTTGACCTGATCGGCACATGTGTGTTGAATTGTTTTTCCTGGCGGGAAACGAAATGAGGTCAACAATTAGAGGCTCCCATTCTACAAGTGCCTAGACTCCCGTTCCAGAAGTGCGGGGATGTCATCCACTGGTCCAGGCCAGGGCCGTATCTATCCTCACCAGCAGTGGACAACCGTCTGGGCATACACACCTGGATGGAGTCTCCAAGTTGAACAATCTTCATCTTGGGTGATTTCAGTCGCACACCTGGGCGCAGAAAGTCATATGTTCAGCTTCTGATTCATGCTTACTCTACCCTAAAATATAAGGTGACTTCGGAGGAGACCCAGGGTCTGACAGGAGCTCGCTTGCCACTCTCGGCTCAGCCACATGCTCAGTGCCGAACTCATCAGGAGATGCCGTTTGGTCCCCGGAACCCCGAAAGGAATGGGGCGTGCTCAAAGGTACGTCGGAGGGCTATTGGACTGTTGCGTAGCAGCGTTGCCTCATTCAGCCCGGGCACAAGTTAAACCTGCGTGGCATGCGAAACAGGTGCGCATGGGTTGTCCCTCCAGCCATGAAAGCCGTGGCTCAGACGTAGCAAGCTGGACTTTTCGAGTGTTGACCCCTGGCAAATAACTTCTCCCAATATGGTTAAGGGTTTCTGTCCAGAAAGTGATTGATGAACGTTGTCGTGGGCTGCGCGTGCATTTGACGCAACCTGTATGTTTTCGGACCCAGAAACCAAGAGGTACATCGAGTGCCAAAGAACAAGTTGGAGAAACAAAGTTCAGGGAGACGTGGCAGTTACGCCGCGTAGAATCTCTTTGCGTTACGCCGTGTGAGATATTGCCGTAACGTAGAATGACCCAACTGCTTTCCACGCGGCGTAACTGCAAGTCCTAAAAGTTCAGGGCTCCCAATTTTTCCCTTCAACCATCACCCCTACCACCAAAATGGGGAAACGGAACCCCGGGTCCAAACAAATTATCCTCGCGCGCGAATCGCCGTATTTTCGACCTCCGGGCTGTCGCCACCCGCCTGCCGGCGTTTCCTCGTCCAGGCGTCGGGGAAAGAGCAGCGCGCGGTAGAGCGAGGTGTAGAACACCTCCAAGCGCCTGAAGGTGAGGCGCTCGGACAGGATGCGAGGCCTAAAGGATTCACCTACCTCGAGGTAAAACACCATGGATGACTTCTCTGGGTTATAGGGGTAAGTGAAATCACGTGCGAGATCCTGCCTGTGGATGCTACGGGGTGTGCTTTTTGCATCTCGGTACCATTTTCAGGTTGGTGTAAAGGGAAACCAAAAGGAAACCAAGCATTTGGGAGTGTTTTGGCAGTTGGGTTCAAAAGCAAAATCAGGATTCATTCTTGGGGGGTCCAAAAGCAGATTTGGCACATATCCATGAGTCTATGAGGCTCTTGGCTCGTCCCAATATTGATAGGGCTTGACTCCCAACTCCCAACTGCGGGATTTTGTGGATGTTTGTGGGGCCCGACAAACTTGCGATGATTCCAACACCTGAGATAGTGAATCCTCATGGTGGGCTCGATTTACTCCAAGGTGAGTTTGCCAAATGGACGCTAGGCCTTGCTGAGGCCAGCAGATATTCGGAAATAACAAAACTGGAGGAAGCCGCAAGGAAACCGCATGCTGGCCGCTAGCCACAGTCGGACGCCTGTAATTCTCAAAGTCACCAAGTGGCTGGCCAACGGTTGTTGACTTTGGGAACATTGCTTGCAAAAACCTGCAGTACTCCTCCTCTTTAAGCTCCACAAAGCCTCGCCATGGTGCCGTTTGCGAGTCTGGGGAGACAGGCTGACGGCAGACACTTCTCTGGCGCTCGTCGGGAACTTCCCCTGCTGTGTTCAAGGACAAACAAGTACCTGGGAGGGTGTCAAGCATGTGCTAATCCCTAATGCGCTAAGAACAACCATTTTCCACAATCGCGGTTTCCTCACCACAGGAAAACGGGGTATATACATGTATATACCCTTTAGCGGCTATAAAGTGGTTGTATATCTCATGAACCCCATGGGTCGCGGTGGAAACCGTCGATTGTGGGTGTTGGCAGGGCTCCTAAGACAAGATTCGGCAGCGTGGAACATCGCCATGTCCAGCAAACCCAAGAAAAAAAACATTGCGAGTTCTCATCCATTTGATGTCAGTTGTTCAATTGGCAAATTGATCATTTCCGCAGATCATGTTGGGGGTAGTATAGGTGGCTAAATAATTAGAATGGGGTTGTAGGGCACATCAAGACCAAATAAAGTCATGCTCATTCGAGAATCAGTCATGCTTCAGTCCCTTGATACGTATCATATTGTTGTTTGTCTTGTTTGGGTGTATTTGGTTGAGGGTGCCCTTTTCAACTTCAGGTTGACAAACCAAACAAGAGACCAACAACCAAAGACAAATGCAAGGTCCCGACTTTAAAACACTCACACACCTTCCTGAGATCAAAGTTGCTGAAGCCTGAAGCCAATCGTTTCGTGCTTCGCTCGCGGGCCCCGCTTCACAGGGCTCCCTAAACATCACCCCAAGAGGAAACATCCCAAGCATGAGCAACCAAAAGGTAAAGTGTCCACCCACCACAAGGGGATAGCATGAACTGAAATTCTTTGAACAAAGGAGTCCGGCTCGAAATCATTCATCAAACGCAGCTTCAAAAGGCGGAGATTTAGACCCAAAGAAAATTCAGGGAGCGCTAAAAAGGCACGCCTCAACTATATGTATATATGTGTATATATGCGTAAATATACATATATATATATATATCATAAGAAAACAAAGGAGAAAAACAAGTTGGTTGCGCTTCGCTCCGCGCTTCGGCCGAAAACGTCCCGCCTGAAGGTGGTGGCCGTGGCCGGCCCCGCGTCCAAGACCTCCACCTGAGTCCGGACCCAAAACCGATCTCCGGGGGAACACGGAACACTCCCCATTGTTTTAGGAAAAATAAAAAGGAGGGAAAAAAAAGCACCGCCAGAATTAGGGACATCCCGCCCCCACCAAAAACAAAACGGGGTTTCCCCTCCAGGGACCCATCCCATGCCGCCCACCTGTCGCAGCAGGCTGCGCCAGGCAGTGGCTCCCTCGGCGGCCAGCTGCTGAAAGCTGCGGCCCTGCACCTGCGAAACACGTCCTTTGACTTAAGGAACCGACAAGGGTAGCTCACAGGTCCCAGCGAGAGTGTCGATTATTTTTTCGGGCGGCCCCATTTGTTTGGGTGGCATCCCATATTTTGATACCAACACACTTAAAAACTCCTTAGCAAAATCTGAAGGATTCTAAGGGAAGGGGTTTTGCGGAATGCAATGGACCCCTCAAGCCATCAGTTGGATGGACGCGCAAACAACTCACTGTCACGACGGCAGTGCAGTGTTGGCCGAAGGGGCAAAGTGAACAAGCATGGACCGTACCACAACGGTTGATTGTATACAAGAACTTGCAAACTCGGCTGGCCAAACCACGCAGTTGCATATTTGGCAGCTCTTAAAAAGCGCATCAGATTAGAACCCCGAGTGGTGGCCGAACAGTCGCATTCGACCCTACCGTCGCATTTGACCCTACCCCACTTCGACCCCGGAAAGCATCACATACTTACCCTTGTCACATTTCTGCGCAGGGGCCAAGCAAAACGAGCGCGTCACATTTGCCCCTGCCCCACACATACGCCAACAAGTTTGAGGGTTTAGGGTTCTTGGTTTGGGATGTTAGGTTTTTGGGATTTTTGGGGTTTAGAGTCTTTAGGGTCATGGTTGTTTTGTTTAACAAAAAATGGTTTTCGGGTTTAGGGGTTTTAGGGTTTAGGGGTTTTAGGGTTTAGGGTTCCTGAGGTTTAGGTTCAAGGGTTTTAGGGTTTAGGTTTTGAGGCGTATAGCGTTTAGGCCAGAATGCTCCCGCAGAAGACAGTTCAAGACACCAAATTTCTGGCTTTTCCTCTTGGAGAGCACTTCCACGTCACATTTGACCCTCCCCCCCAGCGTAGGTAGGGTCACAGCCGACAGAAATTGAGGTAGGGTCAAATGCGACAGTTTTGCCCCGAGTGGTTGGTTCCTGAGTCCATTGCTACGCCTTCCTCTGAGTAAGGGAGATTCCCTGGAAGTCAAAACCAACGCTGAATGTCCTTCGCATAATCTCCCAAAAGTGAAACGCAGCTCTAAAATGCGACTCTGCCATATTCATCAACCAGAAGCTGATTCATCACCTTTGTCCGCGTTACATGGGAGCCATGGCCCCTTTTCAAATCCTGGTGCAGCGTTGATTAAAAGACGATACCAAAGATGTCCCCCCGGAAGGGCTGAACACTGCCTCGGCATCCAGCGCCCTCAGCGCTTGCGCGGCTGAAATGAAGCCTAGGACCGGCCATGCACGAGGAATGCGGGTGTTTCTCAAAATCCCCGCCTCAAAACAAAAAAAGGCGTCCTTTGGGTGTTCGTTCAAAGGCATCCCAAAAGTGGGTCCACAATCTCGAGAAAGCTCTATGTCTGATTTTGGTTGAGAGACCCGTTGGTGGGCATCCTCTACATCGGGATGGACAATGTCTCAGTTGCAGCCAAGGATCTAGTTCCAATGGATATCTCCATCTCCTGCCACACAGAGTTCGGACAAGGAACTATTGTCACACTCCCTATATGTCCCCAAAACATAATCCTTACCAAGGGAAATTCGCCTTAAATGAGGCAAGTGGTGATGTTCAAACCAAGGCACATATCGGGACCTCTGTGTTGACTTCAGATTCTTCTGGACCAGACCAAGGGCAAATCCCGCTAAGGAAATTATCTATTCTGGTTCCTCTCACTAGGGTGCTCCGGATTAATAAACATTTAGCACTAACACAAAGTCAACTCAAGGTCCATGCAAAAGAGTGAAGGCCTCAGCTGCGGTGGGTCTATCAGTCCCGCTGAACCTGCTGCTTTTCACAGCCTCAGCAGATCAACATTGATGTTGTAAGACCTGAGATGTTTGACCACAGCCCACAGTGCTTCCAGACTTGTGGCAAGTGGCTGAAGGTTTCCAACTGGAAGCTTACAGGAAACACAAAACTGGAAGCCTAGACACCAATCGCTTTGTGCTCTCGATAAACTTTCCGATCGCCGGTATCTGACATGGCTCCCTCGCCGAACGGGACTCTGGCAAGTCTCTTGGCATGTGGCCTTGGAACGTGGGCCGTGGAGGACACGGAATGTCGCACGACCAAAATACAGCTCCCCCGAAAAAAGAAAAAACAGCAAAAGAGGAGATCAAATGAAGACATATATGGAAGGAGCGAGGCAGCTTCCATACGAGGGTCCTTCAAACATCACTGTTTGTTTGTCACTTGGGCGATTTAAATCATCACGGTCTGGACCCTTTCCATGTAAGTTTCTCTTTCTTGGTGGGTGATGTTTAAAGAGAATGTATGTGCCATGGTCAAAACTGCTTATGTGGGCCACAGTCATAGTTCGAGCTCGTCTGATGTCCTTATATACACAAATGTATAAACATCCCTGCCAACTCCAAACAAGTAGTTTTCCCCTCTGACAAGAAGGACTTGAGCTTTGATGAGGCGAGGGCTAAAAATCATTGGGTCGCAAGGGGGGGACACTCTAGGGCCCTCTGTGCAAGGAAGTGAGTGGGTCTCCTCACTGCTGGTCACCAAGCAGCAGTTTCGGATCGAGGAGTCCTGGTGCCGGAGGATAAACAGCTTGTCTGACAACAGGCGTGATGTGTAACTGAATGACAACGAGAACACTTGACTAAACTCAAAATTGGCTTCAGTTCTCCTTTTGGCGTCGCTTTAAACCAAGGATATCCACAAAAACATGACCACATTGAGCATTGGGCACCGAACGACGGGTGCTTAGGTTAGACGTGGTGGCCTTCTTGCGTGGTTCTCTCTGGCCTCTCAGCAATGCCAAAGCTATATGCGGCGTGGTCAAAACTCCAACCAGCATAAATAGTATAAGCGGCCAACAGGCCAACATATGTATTTCTCATGATCATGAGGTCATTTGGATTCAAAGTACCCCACAACCGCTTTCCAATTGTTTAAGCCCTTGTATTCTCAGGGAATGTGTTTTCCTAGGGATGGTGGTTTTTGCAGCCAGCGTCCACACAGCCCGTTTTCAACTGGAATGGAGGTCCAGCCCCTGGGAACCTCTGCGACTCTTGGTGGCCCTGCCATGAACAACTCTAATTATGTCGTAATCCATCAGTGCGCATGTGTCTTCATATGTGTGTACATCGTACAAAAACATACACATCATAGGTGAACAATGCGAACTCGTGAGAATTCACTGTCGTGAAGTAAGAGATCTTCTTCCACACACAGTACCTTTGTCACCAGTCAAGTGGTAAGGTCGCATCGTGCCTCTGAGTTTGAGCACAATCCCTTGCCATAAGACTATAAAGTATAACCACCAACGTGGTGACAGCAATCTCAGCATTAAACGTGACACCCGTCTGCCGCCTTTCAAAGGTCGACTCACGGACCAGAGGTTGACTCTTATTCACGTTGCTCGACTCACTTGTGGCCAAATCAAGTGCCCGCCCCCCTATATTCAAGCCATACAGGATCCTGAGCAAACAAACTCTGCAACTGATCTGCGTGAACCAGAATACGGCATCAACCTGAAGTAAACGCCCCCCAAGAAAGGATCCTTCATCTTGATTGAGGTCGCATCCCAAGTACGCTCTCGTCTTTCACTTATGTTTTCCGCCGACGGGTCCCTCCTGGCAGCGGGGTGGCCCGCACTGCACACCCCCCTGGGTCTTCTTCTTGGCGTTGGCGTCCTCGAAAAAAGCGCGGAGGTTGAAAGTGGGTAGATCTCGGGCTTGGAATAACCACATTGTAACCATCATAAAAGGGCTGTGTGTGTGTGTTCTGACGGTAACCTTTTTGGCTGGCCCCACCTACGTCTTTGGCCCAAAGTGATCACTTTGCAAATTTGATATCACCATCTGACAGCGTGCGCTAGCGCCAATTATTAGCGAAGGTCAAATGTTAACTTCCTGAGTGGAATGGCCAGACTCTTCAAAGCACCACATTGGTGCTACTGGTACCTTAATCGCGAAACGGTGCATCCTTTACGCCGCATAAGGATTAGTGCCAAAATGGGAGGATTGCCCAGCTCCACTGGGCAGCTCCCCTCAGCAGCTGATGGGAGTAGAATTGATGCCACTCCCACAGCGAGGGAGGAATCCTCCCACCTCACCGGATGCCCTCCCGGCATCATGGGTGAGGAAGGAAAGTAGCGAAGATCAGCTTGATCAATTCGCTTTCGACTGAGGGGAAGACCCGGTTCTCAGTCGGAAATTGCGGGTCCGGATGAGTAAGTTCATCCGCCCATGTGTTAAAGTCGCGCTTCACATGCGACGGTCCTAACATGACCTGGTGGTCATGCAGTGTTAACACAATTTCCATGAGGATGGCCGCATTGGGCATCCTGCGAGTGGAATCGTTAAGCAGGGAGAAAACGTTTCCCTGGTTATCACTAGCAACCAGAATCCTAGTGTGAGAAGCCGAGCCGGCTGCACAAAGCAGAACAGCCCTCACCAAAAGGAGGAGGCCGAAGAGCTCCAAGGCCGCTATCGCCCGCTGCGGGTCCCCAGTAGTGAAGGCCCACGGCTCGCCCTCCGGTGTGATTCTGTGTTGGAACCACTTCACTCGGGACTTGTCGGGGTTGGGCACGTCCGAGCACCAACCACCAACCCATGCATGGTCCGCCTGTTTGCCAGCTCCCGCATCAGATGCCCCCGTCCATGGAAGTGTGGGAGCAAATGGAGATGCCAGTGGGAACCTCTGGTTGAAGAGCTTCCCCAGAAGGATGGCCAGAGCACGAACCAGCTTCGGTGGCCTGCCCGAAGTGGTGCAGGCCTTCTTCCAGCTCCAAAAGGGCTGGAGGAAAGGTTTCGTCAATGGACACGCCGAAGTAGCCCATTGAATCCGGCCCAGGGCTTGTTCCACCTCCTTGCTGGTAAAGATGTCCCCCTGGGCCAGCCGTTTGAGAGTGGCCAGGATTATGACGTGCTTGACTGGAGCCAGCAGCACACAGGGCGTGATTGGGTCCACCACGAATCCCAACCAGGTATTGACCGGGGAGAGCGCCGTCTTCTTCCAAGAAAGCGGGACTCCCAGCGCCAGAAGAGTGGCCAGGATGGCTGTGGCGTCCCAGTCCGCCCTGCTGCATCTGAGGACCCAGCAGTAGTCGTCCACAAAGACTAAGTGCCAGTCCACCTGAGGGAAGATGTAGTACAAGAGTCTGAGCACCAAGGATGCCTTCTTCCCCAGTACAGTTGTGCCGAGGCCATGCCGTACGTGCCCACTCTATTGACCCACCACCGGTTCTGGATGCAGGCCACCTGGTATTTCCAGTCTTTCTGGAGCACTTTTATGCGCCTGTGGGCCTTGGTGACATCCGCCTTGAGGATGATGAAGGTTTCCCCCTGTGTCGGCGGCTGCCACGTCAGGGGTTCCCCCCTGCTCCCCCCAGGGCGTTCCGTGCCTGGGGGGGTTGGGGGGAATGGGGCCCTCCTATCAGGGCCCTCGGCACCTGGGAGTGGCCCCTTCCCTGAGGGTGTTGACCGCGGAGAGACGTCCAGGCCGCCGGAGGTCTCCATCATCCGCCTGCCCCTATCAGGGCCCTCGGCACCTGGGGGCAGGCTGGTGCTGTGGGGGTCCCTCTCAGGGCCCTCGGCACCTGGGGACTGCCCCTGCACCGGCTGGTGAACATCCCGAGGTTCCTCATCAGTGCCCGAGGATGGGGCTCGGAGTAGATGAGGATGGTCCGCCGCTGTCCTGAGCCAGTGGATGGCATGGAGGCAGTCTCCAACCATCGGTGCGGTGGTCTTCTCCTCCGTGTGAGCCTGGATGTGTGCGTTTGCTCCCCCTTTTGAGCCATCATAGATCGTCCTGATCTTGTCCGACTCATCAATCCCTGCAAGGGGGCCCGGGCAAAGTTCCTCCGGTTTGCAGCGGCACCTCTCTGCCGCCTCGGAGCGAGTGAAGGGCCCGTCCACCATGTCCAAGGCTCGTTCCTCGTAAAAGGTTGATTCGATTTCCTTGGCAAAGAGTTCAGCCGTTGGGTAGTTATCATGAGCCACTGGCGGGGGGGGATCTTCCCCCAGCCAGGCTTCTCCCTTAAGCTCCTCCTTAGTGGGCCAAACTCCCGGGGAGGTCAAGGTAGGGTCCGAGACTCCCAAGAGGACCCCCTCTTTCAGTGTTAGGGGGAACTCCCAATCAGGGTCACCTGAAAGGGATGCCAAGTGCGACACTAAGTCCAGGAGGAAGGGTTGTCCTGGGCATCGTTCATGGAGGTGCCTCGGTCCTAGGATAGCCCGCAGCTCCTCGAGGTCGGCTTCCTGGAAGGGGTGTGTGGTGGCACCTGATGCCAGGGACATTCGGACCTTGTCAATCCAGGGCCGGGTAAGGGTCATGATCAGGGCGCCCAGAAAAGGGGGGTTGAGCCTCCCCAGGTAGGAAGGTTTTCCCCCCCCATCCCTCAGCGGACCCGGTCAGTGAGGTGTGGGACCCTGAAAGCGGGCAGGCATTCGGGGCGGTCCAGGACCTGGTCCCCCTGTCCCTCCTTCCCCAGTTGTTCCGCATCTCCGGCATCGGGGGCATGGGAGATGGGAAGTCTGGGTTCATTGTTCCACGAGGGCTTACGGTGTCTGCCTCAGGGTGGAACTGCCCGTGCAGGCGGGGCTTCGGGGCGTTCTTGCCTCCGGGCTTTGAGCCCTGGTGTGATGAGGAGGGACCGCCTCCTTGACTGGGCCCCCGTTTTCCCCGGGGGGAATGGCCTTCCGGGGGGTCCGACCCCCGCCCCTTAGGTGGTTCCTTGGGGTTTCCCGGAAATTGTGAGGGGATCCGGATGTGCCCCGGCGCTGCGAGTGACACAGCGATGGCTTTGGCCAGGCCTGCCATCATATCCCAAGGGTATCTGCTAAGAGTCGAGGACTCGTTGGTGCCCACATGTGACTGATGCGTGCACCGCATTTGATCCCAGTCCTGGATCGGGAGATCCGTGGCCAGCGTAGTGGCCTTCTTGACCAGCTGGCCCAGGCGGCACTGGTCGAAGGAGATTGCTGTCAAGGAGTTCTCCTCCATCCAAAGCTGCCCCTCCTCTGTGATCCAGAAGGATGAGCATTCCTTGGCTTTGGGCAGCGAGCTGCTCACCACTGGGTCCTCCGGGTGTTCCAGGAAGGACCTGGGCCCTGGCAGAGAAACCGCCGCTCGTGAGGCCCTTGCCAGGCTGGTGATGTACATCTGTCTCAGAATGAGGATGCTGTCATCATCAAGTTGAGTCTGGGCGGCCTGGTCCAGGTGTGGAAGGCCCCAAAGTGTCTCTGGAGTGCGCCCTCGCACCGGGGTGGGAGCCCCCGGTTTTGGTATGTGGCGCAGGATGGACCATGTCCTGCAGTTGGGTCCTCCTCCAATGAAGACCACTCGGCCCTGCTTTGCTGCCGTGCAAAGAGCTCCATACAGCTCGGGTTGGAGCATATCGTGGTCCCCTTTTGGTCCAGACCGTAGGATGTCTACCGCCACCACCATGCTGGAAAGGTGTGGGTAGTTGGCATGAAGACAGCTGTCCAAGGAAGTTGGGTCTTCCTTGCCTGCATAGAGCAGGACAATGATGGGCCCACTGGATGGAACTTTGGGCGATGTGCCCTGTGTCCATCTCAGCCGCTGTACCAGACGCTCAGGGATGTTCTCCATCCACGGGAAGATGTCCAATCCCGGTGACGGCTCCGTTGGACTTGTCAGGGGGGTAGCTGAAAGGCGTTGGCCCCCTTCATTCAGCCCCACCGAGCTCTTGTGGAAAACCACCGGGTCCTGCTTGATGATGTTGGGCGCCGGAAGTGGGATCGGCTGCTTCCTGGGAGTGTCCCTTGGCGTTGCGGTGTGCTGCCAGTCATCCGGCACTCGGGCCTTCTGGGTGCGGCCCCCCGTGTCAGGGCCCTCGGCACCTGCGGGGAACCGTCCCGTCCCCGCCATATCAGGGCCCTCGGCACCTGTGGCTCGGGACTGAGGCGCCGCCGTTGTGCCGGTTGTGTGGCTGTTCTGATCACGGCGAGGGCGTTGTGCACGCTGGTTCTGCCGTCCCCATCCTTGTTCCGCCGAGGATGGCCGCCACCTGGCCTGTCCCCCCCCTGTGTCAGGGCCCTCGGCACCTGCAGGAGGGGGCTTCTGTGCCTGCTTGGGGCGTTTGCGCCCCTTCTCGCCCCCCCGGGCCTTATCAGGGCCCTCGGCACCTGAGGCCTCCCGGGGGGTAGGGGTCAGCGCCCCTAGTCAACCCGGGCAGTCCTGCGGGAGGTGGTCCCCCAGGCAGATGCGGCCCATTGCCAGGATGAGGTTGCACTTGTGGGTGCGGCCGCAGTTGCCCGGGCAGCGCCCGCGCATCCAGTTGTTACAGAACTGGTTCCCTTTCGGGTCGGTGGCTGCCTGCTTGTTACCGCCCCGGGACGCCTGATTGTTCGGGTGGGGGGTCTTACCCTTCCCTTTGTTCCCAGGCTTGCCCTTGGACTTCCCCTTGCCCTTGGACTTGTTCTTGCCCTTCTGAGGTGGTGCGTAGTCCATGGATGTCCTGGTTGATGGGCGGCCCCTGGAAAAGGTCTTGATCTTCTCATAGACCTCACGTGTCCAGAACAATGTGTCCTGCCTGACCGACAGCATGGCCGCCTTGAGGGTGTTGCCCTCATGCATCTTCTCGTGAATCTTTCGCCATGCGTTGCGTTCGGCAATTGCCAGGACGTGGTCCTCTGGCGGGGGAAAACGGCCCCCGATGTCCTCACCA